TCAGTTTTCTTTGAATAATCCTGGACATAGGTAAGACTAACGAGACCTAACCGCGTGTAACGTTTGCAATTTTCCAGGAGACTCGTTCGCGTTATCGACGTACGATACAATTCTTTGGACCCTCCGTATGATTAACAGTATTACACGAGGATCAACATAATTATGATACGCGTGATATGTAACATGGAGAGTACTATAAGATCGAAGATGAAGGGCAAAGAGACGAAGAGAGGGGTAGGTTCAAGGGCGGAAAAGGGAGATCTCCTGGTTCGAAATATTCGTGGAGCATAATGACGACTGGCGAGTGCATCGTGATGGATGGTACTCAGTGTATCTTGTATCGCGCTATCGCGGCTACCACTTGCTTATTAAACTGTTCGGTATTCCCCGGTGGACGGGCGCAACAAGCCGACGCGAGGCCAGCCATGAACAACACGAGTTTCCAAGGGGAAGACGCGGAGGAAGATCGATGCTTGTCCCGGCTCGGACCGAAACTTTTAATAAATGTCATCTGCTACCGAGGTAGCAGTCTCCTCTGACTCGTTATAAATCGCTACCGTGCGCTGCTCCGCTGTTTAAGGGCCGAAAATTATCTGATTCCCTGGAACCGTCGACGAGCCTGCAGCTACGACATCTACTGTTAAACTTTATACATAGTTTCCTTTTGTCTCTTCGTGACCCAAACTTCCTACGATCCTCGAGCAGCGAAAGAGACGTGATACGAGAGAGCAGTTATATAAATAAAGTTTACATTTAACGATATTCCTGAGATACCTTCGAAATTCGTATCTCGGCTTTTACGCTGAAGTCCTGCGATCAACAGAGTAGAAGCAAAGTCGGAACTAATCGCCCTGCTTTACCATTGCAAATAATTTCAATGGAACGCAAACGATCGTTGCAGACAGAGAAGAAAAGGGAAAAGAAGAAATACGGAACGAGCTGCGCGAGAATCGACCGATAGTTTTCTGTGGACACCCGGTACGAAACGGATGATTGCGCCTCGCGAACGCAACAGATCGCTACGTTATTATTTTCGCCAGTTATCGAATTAGATGTTGGCTTAACGGCTACGTACGGCACGGTCTCCATCCAGCCGTTTCATAGGCGTACATACACCGCTCT